TGGATTTGGTACAGCACGAAAATAGTCAAATATGAGGACCAAATACCAGTAGATAAGACTTCATTTATACTTTAAATATTCTTTTTAATAAAAGATATTGAATTTTTTTCGTAAAATGTAATCTTATTTAAATATTATTAATAGGGGTTACTTTTGTGATAAAACTCATTTGATAAGACGGACCTAATAAAGTACAATCATCTTTATCTCCTTCTGGTTAAAAGTTACTATCAACAATTTTCGCGCACTCATTTGAAACGGCAGGTGAACTGACTGACAATGCACGCACACACAAGTACTTAGTAATGCGAAAACTATGTACACGTGAATCCGACACGCCACTTTACTAAACATTGATATACAATTATTTATAATGTTAAACAATCATACGGATAGCATTTTACTGGAACGACGTCTGCCGTTTTCGGCTCCCCGTGGGTGATCAACTCCTGAGGCGGCTCTTCCTCCTCAGGCGTAGGTGGTAACCGCATGGGCCCCATAGCGACCACGATCAACTCCAATCAGGCACTAGTCCGATGTTTACTGAGAATGCACCGATCACAATTTTCACTTCGCATTTTAGTGTCAATTATCGCCAATAACACGCGGCACACATTTTCATCCCTATATCGGTGGGAACACTATTTTGTAGGAATCGTTAGTCGTATAGATTCGTTAAACGTAAAACTGAACGCATTGGTGACGGCGCAAACAAAGGCGCAGGCGGCATGCGCGTTATGCGTTTCACGTTAGATTGAAAAACAGTTGCGAGGAATGTGAGGCCGAAAATAGCGAGAAGCGTCGCGCGGCCACAAGGGCGACCCTCGCTCGCACCGCGCACTCTCGTACGCGCGCCTTTATTTACATCCTTCCATAAGCATTAGCCCAGCTCACGACCGCTAAACGAGTGGAATCGCCCCTAGTGGCTAAACAGCCCCCGAACTAACAGGGTATGGTAACGACCCTGTTTTCCTGTAAACATACCTGGCTGTTACCGCACACTTTTATTGTTCGATAGACGCGCGTCAGTTTACTTTACCTACCACCGAGGAATATGCATAGGCGAGTTTCTACGCGAGGGGTTACATTTACAGTCTCGTTTTGATTGGATAGAATACTGCCAGGGGGAACGTATATTTGATAAACATCAGCTACTTTACCTTAGCTATGCGTGTTTTTGTAATCACACGTATATTATCAAACTTACGCTTCCACAACACGAACTAATGAGTTTGGCGGCCAGACAATGAATGAAATTCTTTATTTTTTATTTACCTGAAATAACCCCCAATCTAAGAATTACTTAATTACTGTCTTCAAAAGAAAAGCATGCAAGTAATTCGAATGATTGATTATTTTATTGACCGCCGAACGTTGGTCATGGAAGGCGTTATAATCATTACAAATAATTATGAGTCAGCTATCCCCGGAAGAGTGATAAGTTACTTGCCCACGTTTAATTTGCAGCAGAATAAACAGGCGCCAGACAAGAGGTGTAAAATAATAAACAATTAAATCCCATCAACATACGCCCAACGAATACACAGCTCCAAATGCAGTACTTCAAACGAAACGTAATACTTCAAACTCGCTGCTCGAACATTGGTATGATAAACTGTATTTCATCCAGCCAGGCCATGTATTTGAATCGTATCTACTATATAAATTAACGTAAATGAACGATAAGGAGATCAAATTGGTATTCATTTATCAATAAAAGCATACTCGTAGTTTCGAATAACTTCATACCATTTCAATAATTCATAAAGAAAACCATAAAACGGAGTCGTTGAACTCTAATAGCATGAAGTTAAATCGTTATAATTATGTTCAAATAAATGACTGTCGTGACAACCTTAGATAATAACAAAAGAACAGGTGCAACCGATGGTACGGGGGTGGAATGTGGGGTAAAATTAGCTTGATAATAAATAGCGCTACTCGCGGAAGACAGGCAGGCGAGTAAGGCGATGTCATTTATAGAACTCTTAAATAAGCAGTAAGCCGACCATCACCCAACGCGTTGCGCTGCCGTCGACATTCCAATATACACACGCCGACAATTCGTCAAGCTTCTGCTGCTCGCAAAGAGGCTGAGTCACGCCCCGTGCGCGGGCCTCAATAATAAAGACATGGAATTTTAACATCTGCAAATCTTAAAATTACATCATTTTCTCGCAAGGAAGGTTTCGCTCGAGGAGACAAAACAAAACAAAAACATTGGATTTGTTGACGTGCACATCAATCATCGAAGCAATCAGTGGTCAAATGCGCGCTACATTACACCTACGGTCGTTCCGTTTTCACAATTCCAAACTTTCATTCAGTGTCGACATTGCAAACTTCCAAGCGTGTTTTATCGGCTCGGTTCATCTTAATGAGCACCATTATAGAATAACTGGACGTCATAAGCGGCGTACTAGAGAGAGGCCATATTATTTACATATGGAACAGCGTAGGAGAGCAAGACAAAAAGGCGTCGACGTAGACGCGTAACAAGCATCCGTCACGCTCGATACAGACATACGAGTTCACTCCGAGCCAAAATCAATGTCAATTACAATGCTCTTCAACAATAACTAAAGACATTAAACAATAAAAATATTGCTTTGAATGAATGTAATCGACTAGGCAATCCAGCTAATTACGTTTCCGTTCTAGTAGTCGTACTAACTTGATTATACTGCCGCATCTTTGATGCCCTAACATCCTCGTGAAGAATATATTGGAAATATTTGCATACGTGCACGTGAACTAACTAAGCCTGGCTTTTAAAATATAACTTAATAACAAGTAGACTTAAGTCAACAGATAGTGAGCCTATAATCTCGCAGATGAATTCAGCAGTTACTGAACCGAGCAATCCTGGAACGTGAAGAAAAAAACTCAAATGCTTCTTTTGATCTAATGTATGGCGAACATTCCATTACTTATAAAGCGAAGCATTCTATCAATTTATACAATTGTCTTATCAATTTGGACGTTTGTCGCAGTGTTTCATATTAATACTTCTATGTATACATACATAATATTTCTTCTTGGGCGGAACATGCGTATGGATTCGGTTGTAATGTGTTTATATAAAAGTTGTGTAAGTAAACAGATAACACGATTTTAGGGTAGAGTAAAACCTTTTTAGAGCAGTAGAGCAAAACGGATTTCCCGCGCAAATTGAAGCGCCTGCATGGGACAGCAAAAGATTTGGGCTCCACGGAGTCCACGAACACAATAGTGTTCAGGCTGGCTTATAGCAAGGTAAGGGTGGCTGAAGATGGAGCGGCACATTTTACTGTCACATGAGCTGTCTTCGCGACTGAACTCCACTACAGTCACATGGGTGAAACAATTTGCTACGCCATGTAACAAAAAATCATAGTGTTTAAGGAGAAGGGTCAAGACTTTCATCGCCCATTTAACTCTTGTGCAATCAATCACCAATGAACATGAACCGTAGAGGATGTTTAAGCCAACCTATTTAGGCGTCACTCCAACCTAATGGTTGATAACTATAATAACACAACAACTATAAAATAAGACAGCTTACTGATGTCGACACTGCTAGGACAGTATACTTTAGCTAATTTAATAGCATTATGTCGTATGGAATTCTATTGTGGGGCACGGCCGGCGGCTGAAATTGAGGCACATTTTTATCCTTCAAAAACGAACTATAAGAGCTATTTATAGCTTGGGATTGCGAACTTTTCTTAGGGCTAAATTATAACTAATAGATATAATGACTGTTGCTTCACAATACATTTCCAATTGTATTTTGTTTTTACGCCAGAACATTAATTTATATATGAGGCGCGATAACGTACATAATTTAAATACTAGAAATAAACATAAACTTTAATTGCCACTATCTAAACTAAAAGTTTCTTGGTTTATTTGTGGTTCAAGGTATATCTGAAATAATTGAGTTACCTTATAAAAGTTTAAAATTAATATCAAAAGTTGCCTCCTTCAGAGGGGTTACTATACTGTAAAAAAATACATAAATGACAAAGCACCTTGGGCTTAATTTTATAAGACTGGATTTTCTTTGCTATATTGGTTGAAAATTGTTTATTTGATCCTTTTTTATTCTAATAAATGTATATTTATCTAATTTTTAAGAATGTTATGGGACTTGACATCGGTACGTTTTCAAGTTTTGATGTCATCTTTCAATTAAACTGTATGAAACTTCTTGCCGGTTCTTCTCAGTACAAGGTCTCCCGCCGTAGATTTACGAACCGATGACATAGAGTTGACGTTCACAAGAGCTTGTAACAGCCTAGACTGAATAATTGAGTTTGAGTTTTAACAACAATAGTTGACGTATCGACAAGGCGCAAGAGCTGTCTAGCCGAACTTCTTTTTTAATATTATAGGGGGCATACGCGAGCATACGGTTCACCTAACGGTAGGTGATCACCGTCGCCCATGGACATCTGCAACAATAGAAGTATCACAAATGCGATGCCGGCCTTTGAGGAAGGAGTATGCTCTTTTGAACTTAATACGAAAATCTTAATCTGAATCTTATACTTATAATGTGGGCGGCGTCGTAAAGAGATCGATCCAAGAACGTATTGCAGGTAGGTGACAGTAATCTGTACTTGGCCTTGTATGCGGCATCGAAAAGGCGGCGCGAGCGGCGGCAGCACCTCCGCAAACAAACTTAGCATGAGGTGGGGTAGGATACCACCCTGCATAAAACATCATTTAGGGTCGCGAATTACGTCAACCCATTGCCTTTTGAGCAATCAAGCCATGACTATGAACCATAGAGGAAGTTTAGTTATTTGCCCATTTAGGCATCATTTCAACCTTAAACAGTTGACGTAACTAGAAGAGGCAAGAGCTGAATAGTGGATGTAGTCTTAATATGAATATAGCTGACTGCAGCCTGTCATTGCGTCTAATTAAAAATGGACACATAGTTAACGGGAAAAACTGTGGGCGGGGTCTTAAGAGGTCGCTCCAAGAACATAATGCAAGCAGGTGATACTAACCTGTACTTGGCCTTGTGTGCGGCATCGAAGAGGTCCCCGCTGAAGTGCGCGGTGACGAGGTAGGCGGGCGGCGCGGGCGGCGGCAGCGGCGGCGGCAGCAGCTCCGCGCCCGGCGCCGCCGCCACCGCGCCCAGCCGCTCGCACGCCGCCCGCACCCGCTCCCACTCCAAGCAAGAATCAGTCACGTACACTACCGCTGTCGCCGAGCCTGCTGACATAAACACATCAAATCACTTTGCCATGCAGACTTAATCAAATCAAATTGCGCGGAGCCCTTGTTATACAAGATTACCAAGCCTGAATCTCAAGCTCGTATTTTGACATCTCCGTGATCGTATCGTCAACGTCAAATTTTGTATAGAAAAAGCTAGTTCGTTCTTACGTCCAATAGGGCGCTGCTTAGTTTTTATAGAAACTTTGACGATGCGATACGATTACGGAACTGTCAAAAATAATGCTGGGGCCTCTGTACCCGTAGACGATACAACGGTTCTTCAAAAGTAATGCCTATTTACAGTTTTTCACGTCAGACAAAACCACTCTGGTTGAACTAATATCTAACTTTAACTCTTTCCGCGCTTACCTTCAAAGGTCAAGCAGGCGTTAATGTGATTTAAGGCTCATTTACACTGACGTAGAGTCAAAATGACGAGACGGCGACGTTAAAGGCGCTGTCCCACGACCTGTGTTGTCGTGGGAGAGGCCGCGCCGAGCAGGGTTGCCAAACGTATGATAACTCCAACGTTCGAGGTATAGCAGTCTCTATAAATGATACGAGGTAAATAGAAATCTCGTACACTTTGACATGAGATTTGAACAATGTTGACTGTTTATGTCATGTACACAAATCAAAAATATTATCAGGAAGTAAATAAATGTCCAGTCGACCATCGACTCGGTAATTACAGATTCATTATGCCAACACAAAGTGTACGAGATTTCTATTTACCTCGTATCATGTATAGACTGCTAAATCGCGAACGTTAGAATTCTTATACGTTTGGCAATCCTGCGCGGCACGGCCTCGCCCTCGACAGCACAAGTCGTGGGATAGCGCCTTTAGATTTTGCGCCAGTGCGAGTTGAGCCTAACACTTCATCTAAAAGTACTTTCATTTAGAATCGCGGAAAAAGACAAAGTTACACAATTAAGACCGTGGTTAGTAAAAATAGCAGTGATAATAATGACTGAATAAAATGAGCTTTCTATTATAATTAAAAATTGTTGCGCAGTTCCAGTACCGTTAAAGGACATGGCCCAAATTTGATAGATTTGTTCTATCAGATTTGAGCCAAGCAATACGGTTTCGACAATCAATAAAAACAATGAGGTCTGTTCAGCATTATACCAATAGAATCCACAAGAAAACGCTTCCAAAGCGTAAGTCCGTTTTTTTTTTACCGTGCATGCGTTACTTCAAGAGATCCCTTTTAATAATGGTAATTGTTAATGCAAATTCCAAAGATGGATATTTTGTGTTTCACGTTGTCGCAAATTCCAAAGATGGATATTTTGTGTTTCATCGTCAACGGAATCCTCAGCTATAAACACGATTTGTCAGATTAAGAGAAATTCTCGTTGAAAAGAAGCAGACGCTGGTTTGCAACACTCCCTTTGATCATTCAAGTATTTGACTTGAAAAACAAGCAGTCAAAGAAAAACATATATCTAATTGCACCGAATGCAACATTGCAACGGCGTCGGTCATCGACATGGTTAACTTGGTGTTTTTTCCTAATATGCTAGATGAATGTTTCTGATTTCATGTTGAAGAATACAATAAACAGGGGATGTATTAATCAAAGGGACAGCTTATTAAATGGGATATCGTGCATCAAAAATACAACGGAAGGAAAATATAACTAAGTACATCTCTAAACGTTACATAAATAGAAGATATCGATTAAGTACTAATTGTCGGGCGTATTTCATCAATTTAAGCGTGCGCAGACGGCGGACTTTTGACCCCGTATTATGAAAAAATTGTCCGCCGTTGGACTTGTCACGGACTCAACGCACACGGTTTGCGGTCATTCAAAGGAATACATAGTGCTTTATACTATACCTGCGAGGAAATAAAAGACATATTCCTTGATTGAAATTCACATTTAAGTTGTTACAGTTACTAAACTTTTGAATGGGAGCTTTATATCGGTTTCTTGATTCCACGTGTAAAGGTTCTCAATGACTGCTTAGGTAGTTTCTCTTAATTCTAATGGTGGCAATAAATCTCCCTTACCAGTAATATACGCCGTTTCGAGTAGATAGTAATATCACCGCGCTTTTTAGTTTTTGTTCTTTTTTCAAAATTAATACAGAAAGTTAACAGTATAATGTTAAAAAAAATAGTTGTCCAGGCAACGAAAAGGTATAGAGAATAGAAGGTATAGAGAGAAGATATCTTCCCTATTGACTAACGTGAGCACAGCAACCCAAAGTCCGTCTTCCTGTAAGGCATATACAATAATATTGGGGTATACATTCTGTTCCAACTCCTTCTCTATTAACTATTATATATACGTAATATACTCGTGCTCTGGTGTGTCATGATTGAATGCGTCTTCTTAAAAGATAACAATCCCCATTTATATGTGGGATATCTACAGAATCATCTCTCATAACTTCAATCAAGTACACACCATCCCGTAAATGTTCACTACAGTAGGACCGAGCGAGCTTTATTTGATAGCTACCTAATGCAAAGAGTGTCAAATCTCTCTCTTCTAACTGGGGAAAATCACCAACTTCTAAATCATCAGCAGATATGGAAATAAAGTTCACCCGGTGCCTATTTAAATTATTAGTAATGACTAGAATTTGCATAAGGCCCATTGACAAAAGGTTCTCGAAAAGTATTTAGGAGGCGGCTGCAATCTTAAAATCCTGAAACATATGTGGCACGGCCCTATTAAAATACTTTTGCCGCAACAACTTGAAGTCTCGTTTGAAACGCCCATTGATAGCTTCGACAAATTGTAACAAGTCGCGACCTGTTTGCTTGGGTAGTTGAGAGCTGGGTTTCATTCGTTTGTTTTGATGGTGGCATGTGAGCTTCATAACCACAAGATTCTATATTTGGCAATGAATCCCGAAATCCCCTGTCCAAGATAAATACATCCCCAGATTTAAAAAACCAATGAAACGCCGAATCTTCTGACATTAATTGGGTCATAACAGTTGAATCTGAAGTTGTTGCAGCAAAAGGTCCGACTACGTCCATTATGTATCCATCACTACATGTGATGATAAATGGTTTTAACAGGTTTTGGAATTTATGTAAACTATATGTAAGGTGTTGGAATGTAAAATTAGAACTTTTTTGGATGTAAATATATGTGCCGTCTAATATAAAAATTAATTTCCTATTTTCTGCAGATCCTGGATTCCCAAAAATGTTGTTGGGTATTAAACGGTTTCTCCTTTCTAGTTCTTCTCTCGTGACATGGTCAATTCTCAGGTGACGCGTTACAAAATTATTGGACAAATATTCTCTTGCTTGTTTAAGGAAGCGTTCTAAAGTGCGTCGAGATATACAAAAAAGATTAGATAATCTTAGATTTGATTCCTCAGCTTGCTGAGGTAGATGCAGAGAGCAACTTTTGGTCTTTTGCACGTTTGACTTAATAATGGTGTTTCTTCTAATATTTGTTGAAATTGCGCCGGTGTCACTCCAGTCCAATAGAAGAACTCATCTGCATCATTGTCATTAATGTTAACAAAATTGAAATAAGCTGCATGCATGCACTTTTAACCATCTCAAATACATCTGCGACTTGTTAAACGATGAAATAGTTTATTAGAGAAGGCGAATCAATCAGTACTTCCCAATGGTTAGATCGTAAATGTTCTTGGCATATTCTGGCATTAATGGGTATGTATATATTGTGATCACAAAATACTTTTGTTTTGATACGTTGAGGAATTCTTATGCGTACTTCTGATCCACATCCCGGGAATAAACAATGAGAAGTAGTATTTGGCACACGTTTAAAGTTTGGTATTGATATATGATTGGCATCATCGGCTCTGGGGATTTGGTCAGGAATCGGTTCTTGAAGTTGGTTTCTTGATTGGGCACAGTCAGCTCTTTGCCAGCAAACACGACAGATGTAAGTAATTCCGTTTCCAAATACATGATTAGAAACCACACGATCACCAATGTAATCGATCAAAAATGGATTGGCCGCAAGAACATCTTGAGAGATAGAGTAACGCCTTCTGTTTCGAATGGAAACGTGACATGTTATACAAGTCTCCATTTCAGTTCTTCTCTTCCAGAGTAAAACACAGAGTCCAAGTTCACGCCTAGTCGTTAGCCAAGTACACGCCAATCCAAATCACATAGGAAAATCGATAGTCCGGTAAAAGTAATCTAAAGTCGTAAAAGAAACAGCAATAGGGGAGCACAGAACACAGATCGCGAAGCAAGTCGACAAACAACTACCCGAATACAACAACGCCTCCACCCTTGTGGGTGCGCGGGCGCATGAGGGGAATGGGTGTTGAGGTTAAAACGTAGCGGCGGCGTCTGCATACAGGGAATAATGAAAAGACCTAGCAGGTAATATTTTAGTTAACAATTTAACGCTTGTTGAATAATTTATTACTTCTATTGTTTACGTCATCAATATGATGTCATAACTTTTTTTACCGATAATATAGGACTTTTTGTCCATACTAAGTATTGTTTATCTTATCATAATGAGTCTTAAAAATAGTGTTTTTGAAGTGGCCGCTTCCGAGCCCAATGTCCATACATTTTGCCCATTCTCCTTTAATCAGCTTTCACTTTTGTTAAAGTCTCATGTCGCTAGGATGCATAGTTTCCGAGATATATGCGAAAAACCTAAAAATGGGACCTTCAATCCCCCCCTTCCCCCTGGCTTAAGGGCTACAGGCGGGGACTTTTGATATGTTTACCTCCTAACTAGTCCTAACAAAGTTACGAAGTCAAAAATTGTGTTCCAAGCATTTCCTTCTATACCTGTTTTTGAGCATTCGTTGCCTGGACTATATATAGATTGCAGTCTGTAAAATCATACTGACCACTTTTGGGAACATAAATCAAAAAAAAACCACACCATTTACAATGAATTTCCTTAGGCTTTTCTGCCCGTTCAGCGAGTTAAAAATTGAATTTCCACACTTTTCTTAATTTTAATTAAAATAATTAAAATTTCCACGCTTAATAGTACAACAGTAATGAGGTCC